CCCCAACAAAACAAAACCTCACCTCCAACAAAAACAAGCCCTCCCAAGTTTAAATGACCTGAAATGGGTCGATAGTGCCGTAAAACACCTACTCAATCAATCAAACCCTCCCATCCATCATCTCTCACTCCCAGGGCACCCAGGCTCCTCCGTGATATTTCGGATTGGATCTGGCGTCGTTGGGTTTCTTTCCTGGAGACACCATGGTGGCGACGTACTCTTTGATACGTGCGAACAGGGCGGTCACCTGTCGGGAGAACAAGTAGTGCATTATTGTAGTAGAATCTAGTAGTAGACGATCTCAGACATTTTTATAAGTTTAGTATATTATCTAGTGTATGCTTCCCGGGAAGCTGAGAATGTTTCGGAGTGTTCTATGGTCTGCTGGGGTAATAATATAATGTAAAGCGCATAGAGCCTGCTGCTGAGCGGGGATATGCGCTATACAAATGCTATCTATTATCTATTATTATTATCTAAGACATTTTAGAAGTACATTAATTGTAGTAGACTACAACATTTTAGAAGTACATTATTGTAGCAGTAGACTATCTAAAACATTTTTAGAAGTAAGTACATTACTGCGGTAGACTATCTAAAACATTTTTAGAAGTAAGTGCATTACTGCAGTAGACTGTCTAAAACATTTTTAGAAGTAAGTAGGCCTACATTACTGCAGTAGACTATCTAAAACATTTTTAGAAGTAAGTACATTACTGCAGTAGACTATCTAAAACATTTTTAGAAGTACAAATATATTGTAGTAGATTATCTAAAACATTATAAAAGTACAATATAAAATATTGAGGTAGATTATCTAAAACATTATAGAAGTACAATATAAAATATTGAGGTAGATTATCTAAAACATTATAGAAGTACAATATATAATATTGAGGTAGATTATCTAAAACTTGTTAAAAGTACAAATATATTGTAATAGACGATCTAAAAACATTTAGAAGTACTTTATTCTAGAAGACGATCTAAAACATTTTAGGAGTACATTACTGTAGTAGACTGTCTTAGATAACCTACGATTAAAGTAATTCACTATTCAAGACATTTTTATGGTACACTTTTGTAGTAGACCCTTCAATTTCATTCAGTTAAGAATAAAGAACTTGGACAGATGGGTAACGGGGGAAAAATACCCCAAGACGATACATGTGTTAAGGGGTTTTGAGTAGAGCTGGGCGAAGAATTGATTCCGGAACCGATTCCCACGATCAATGCTACGGAAGAAAAGTTCAGACTCTTTTTTAAGTAAACCGACGGTTATCAGTTACTTTAATAATTCAAATCTCCTTTTAAAAAAAAAAGTTATTTTTGAAAAATAAAAGTTGATGCTCTGTAGTGTTCCGAAATCAAGGTTATCCTAAATCCTGAAGATTTTCCATGCCAACCAGGTAACCACTGGAAGAAATCACATTATTAAAATGTAAGTAATTGGGTTCGGAGACGATTCCTACGATTCCTATCTTTCAATAATCGGGAACCTAGCCGCCCAGTACTAGTTTTGAGAGCATCTGAGCAGAGAAATTAGTTTTGAACCATGATTGCCATATGTCGGTGATTGAAAATGTTTTAATTTGTACATGTAGATAGCCTACCGGTACTTACATTTAGCCTATATCTTACGCCCCCATCAACACAATACATATCATTCAGGAGTTGCGGGCTGCCTTAACCCTGGGCCAACTTGGGCTTAGACAGAGGCTTACAGTTACACAACGTCCCAACAGAATAATACATGTACGTGGATTTTCTTGATTAAAATTCTTCCTACTCGGTAGGCCTACATGTAAACGAATTCATGTCTTCTTCGTGCAACAGACAGCAAAGCACATTGCTACACCGCAGACGCCAGTCCGATATGTCTAGTTCAGATCTAATAATTGAAGAAGAAGAAGAAGAAGAAGAAGAAGAAGAAGAAGAAGAAGAAGAAGAAGA